GCAACCAGACGCGCGCGCGCGCGCGCGGACGCGGCCGGGAGCCGCGGCTCGGAGCCGCCCGGGGCCGCCGCCCCCGGGGAGCCGCGGCCGAGAGACAAGCAGCGGACGGAGCGCGCGCTGCTGCCCGCAGCTCTGCCGCCCGGCCGCGGCCCGGCACGCAGCGTCCCTCCGGTGCGCGGCGTCACGGGGCGGCAGCGGCCGCCGGGGCTTGCCGTTACTTGCCTCGTGAACGCTCTCCGACGGCACACGGCCGCCTTTTCCCCGACCCCCAGCCCGGCACCGCGGCGCACCGCGGAACCATTCCCACGTGTGGTGCGCGGACTCCCCGTGCTACACCTGCGCGCGGGCGCTCCGCTAAGCCGAGCCTCCCCGCGGCACCGCCTAACGGGGGACGGGATAAGCACGGAACGCCGCAGCCGGACCTAAAGTCGAACGCCTCCCCGACGGCAGACCGCGCGCGGCTCTGCATTTCTTCGCAGCGCCGCCGCCGGGCCCCGCGCCGCTCTCGCGCCGTTCCCCGCCGCGCAGTATTTACTCCCTCAGCTGAGCGGAGCCGCCCCGCCCCCCGCCGCCATTGGCCCGGCACGCGGAAGCCCGCGCGCCCCCTCCGCGCCAGTGAGCGCGGCCCGCGGCTGACGGACGGACGGGCGGCGGCCAATGGCGGCGCGCACGGGCCGGGCGCGGCGGCGGCGGTTATAAAGGGGCCGCGCGGCCCCGCACCTCAGTGCGAGCTCCGGCAGCGCCGAGAGTGGAACGGTAGGCAGCGCACTTCGCAGGCTCCGTGCGCTCTCCCCGCGCCCGCCTTTCAGCATGAAAGCTTTCAGCCCCGTGAGGTCCGTGCGGAAGAACGGTCTTTCGGAACACAACCTGGGCATCTCCCGCAGCAAGACCCCGGTGGACGACCCCATGAGCCTGCTGTACAACATGAACGACTGCTACTCCAAGCTGAAGGAGCTGGTGCCCAGCATCCCGCAGAACAAGAAGGTCAGCAAGATGGAAATCCTGCAGCACGTCATCGACTACATCCTGGACCTGCAGATCGCGTTGGACTCGCACCCGTCCATCGTCAGCCTCCACCACCAGCGGCCGGGGCAGAACGCCGCCTCCCGGACCCCGCTGACCACGCTCAACACAGACATCAGCATCCTCTCCTTACAGGTAGGCACCGCTCCGGGTCGCGGCCCCAGCCCTGCCCTGTCCTCCTTTAGCCGCCCTCACGCCGCCCGCTCTGTCCGCTCTCTCCCCGCAGGCAGCCGAGTTTCCCTCAGAACTAATGGCAAGTGACAGCAAAGCGCTCTGTGGCTGAATCGTACGGTGAGTACAGCCCGTCTCGCTTGTCTTGTAAACTCGAGAGCGCTTCCACTTAAAGAGAGAGAAAGGGGGGGAGAAGCCGTATTTGAAGTTGATTGCCGCTCGCAGAAAGCAGTCCTAAAAGTTGGTGCGGAGACGCTTTGTCAATAGTAAAACAAGCGAGGCAACCCGCGAGCGGTTCCAGCACTGTGCGCCCCTGGCGCTGCCCGGCCCCCCGGCTGCCAAGCGGGGAATCCTGGCAGCGTTCCTTCCCTCCTGTGATGTGGGATTGTCTGCGCTATCGGTTCAATAAGAGACTGCTTTTAATCAAGTAATTGCTCCAAGAGGCAGACTGGCGCCTCTGAGCGTTGCGTTGCAGAGATCCGGCCAGAGATTGGGCTGAGAATCCTCCTCCTGTCCTTTCCCTGGAGTGTGTGTTATTTTAATGTTCGATCTGCGCTCTCGAGAGCGAGTGTGTGAGCATGTATGTGTTGCATCTGGACGCCAGGGTTTGCCCAATCTCTGAGTGTTTGGTTAAATGTTCAAACTGCGGCTTCCTCCCTGGCGCCAGTCTGTCCGGATCTCTGCCCTGTTAGCGTGCTCCTAAATACGCCTCTTTTCAATCTCTTGCAGGTGTTCCACTGAGGAGGCTTTTCTTTTTCTTTTCTTCTTTTTCTTTTTTTTTCTTTTTTTTTTTTTTTTTTTTTTTTTTTTTTTTTTTTTTTTTTTTTTTTGCACAAGAATACGTCTACGGGATCTTCTTTTTTTCTTCTTCTTGAGGTGCTGAATTTTTCAGCTGCATCTGGAGGGGAGAAATCCACGCTAACTAAACTAAAAGGACCTTTAAAAGTGAATAAAGAAGAAAACAAATCAAGATCGATCTTTATCCCCCACCCCATTCCTCAAGTTGGACTGAACCTAGTTATTTATGAAGAGACTCTTAAATACCCTTTCCCTAGTTGGAAGGCTTCCTTTATATACTATTCCCAACATGGGGAGCGAAACAAAATCACGCGCGGAGATGCCCATTTTAAAGCAGACTTTGCCTTTTTTTCCAAAGGTGGAGCGTGAGTACCAGAAGGATCCGGTGTTCAGTTTTTTAGGAGAGTCTGGGGTCAGAAATTGCCTTTCTGACCCAAACCTAGGACTGAATGCTGTGTATATATTTATATATAAATATATATATATGAGTGAACCCTTGTGAACTCTTTAATTAGAGTTTTCTTGTATAGTGGCAGAAACTGACGTTTCTGCAAAAAGTGTAATGATGTACTTAATCATGCTAAACTTTTTATAAAAGTTTAGTTGTAAACTTAACCCCTTTTTATACAAAATAAATCAAGTGTGTTTATTGAACTGATTGCTGGCTTTCTTCTTTGGGGACCAACTGTTTGCTGGCTCTGATTTGTGCTGTTTGTGGCTTTTGTTTTTTTTTCTCCTTTAAATACTTAAGCATTCTGTTACAATTTACTGAGCAAGTTCAAATGTGTAGAGAATATAAAGAATAAAATGACCTGAAGTGAATAATAATTCTTGTAACTTGGAAAGTGTTATTTGAGTGTGTATTCCAAATTTATGCCTGTAACCAGTGTGGAAGGAACCCGAGAAGTAATGGATGGCCGAGGGGATGCTACTGCCCAAGTGCTGGGGAATGTACACAAAAGCAGTTAACCCTGAGCCGTGCCCATGGAGTGTGACTTCCCTCCCACCCCATGGCTGATTCTGATGTCCCAGATCTGTTGATTTGCCTTCAGGATAGTGGCTCCGAATTAGGGGTTGTGGGTGGTTATTATTCCTGCAACTGTTAAATTTCTCTCTGAAGGCTTTGAATGTGCGAGCTGGTGATGCGTTAACACGGGATCTAAAATGATGAAGTGACTGTTGCCTTTCCACACTGGAATTTGCATGCTTCCATGCAATATTTCAATGAAATGGGGTTTCTAATCAGTTGCAGCAGCAGCGCTGTATGACTAAGATACTGAGAATTGGGCTTAAATCACTGTTGTGTTACTGATTAAACTTTGGCTGCTCCTGAAGGAACTCTTTTCTCCATAAGAATTAAATTAAGTTTGAAATAGGAGTCGACATTCTTGGAAGCCAGTGAGTGTCTCTTTCTCTCCTGCCTTCTGAAACTTGTGTGCAGTGTGCCCTGCTACCCAGGGCCACTTACTGTACCCACCCCGTGAATCCCCTGCCTCGAGCGCAGCTCATAGGCTCTACCGAGCTGTCATAAGACGGTGGATGTGGGAACTGTGCCTTCCCAGGTGACGCGTTAATTCGAGCTGTTACAAACCCCCCTGAAACGGGAAGGAAGCCGTGAGTGCTGCGCACGGATTACGGAGATCCCTCGCTCTAGGAACGCGGGGAGCCTCGGCTACGCGGGCAGCCCTCCGCTGGAGCCGGGGGGCGGCCGTGCTGCGGTAACCTCACCTGGGCCCTCCCCGGTAGCCCGGGGCCGGCGGCGCTGCGGGCAGCAGCCGCTTTTCCTTGCCCTTGACACCAAATCCGTTCGCGGAAGCCGGGCGGGAGCCAGCGCTGATCTCTTAATGCGGGAGCTCGGGGTCAGCGCGAGCAGGAGGCGAGAAGGGCCCGGCTTGCTGGGCCCTGGGGCCGGGGCTGTGCCCGCAGGCTGCGGGGCCGGGGCAGCGCGGTGCCCCCTGCGGCCGAGCAGCGCTATTGCTGCGCTGCGGGCTGAGCCTGCCGGCGCCGCGCCGGGAGCGCCTGACCCCGACCCAGCGGGGAAACGCTTCTCGCTACCGCTCCTCGCGGCTCGCTCCCCAAAATTGCCTTTTCGGTGTACGCTTCGTCTAATTGGCACGAGCTGATCGGGGGTTTTACTCGGTATTGCGAGCTCAGCCCTCACCTGCCACTAACAGTCCAACGCTCACCACCCCATTTCTCTCCCAAAGCCACCCAACTGTTGGTAGCGGGGTGAGCCTTTAAGCATCACTTTCAATGCACAGTGTGATATATGAAATTACAGAACTGCGCCACTCACATCAACCTCAGGGAACTGAGCTGTGTGCTCCTCTGGGCTTCAAAGCTGCAGGACATTTCGCACACCTGTACACCAAAACCAACCACCCTGCACAGCCATCAGGCAGCCACCATTGATGAGTCACGGTGAAAAGAACAAAAACCAAAAATGTTTTTTTGTAAAAGTGAAGTATGAAATGAAATCTCCTCTCGCAGTTAACGAATTCATCACCTCTGCTGCATCCCTTGGAGCAGAGCAAGGGGCTGCCAGCAGCTGCTCTACGTATGGAGTTCTCTTTGGTTTTGTTCTTAAAATTTTGGCTTTCAAAGAGGAACAGCAAAGCCAAAGTGTGAGAATTAACACTGAGACACTGATGTTTCCGAGCAGATTTGGGCTCTCCCTCCTCCAGCACTGCCACTGAGCTCTAGCTGAGAGCAGAAAGCTCTGTAAGACTGTCACTGCTTCCCCCAGCCATGCGAAGCCCTGTGAGGGACAGACCTACGCACTTGTGAGAGCTGCCCACAGCCATCTCATTTACACACTGCCCATTTTCTTGCATATACCTGGCGTGAAAGTTGCGAACACATCTAAAGGCATAAACGTAAAGTGCCCATTCGGAAAGAAACACTGTGTCCAGTTCTGGGCTCCTCGGTTCAGTAAACACGAACTGCTGGAGAGAGAGCCCAGTGAAGGGGCACAAAAATGGTGGGGGCCTGGAGCATCTCCTGGATGAGGAAAGGCTGAGGGACCTGGGGTTGTGCAACCTGGGGAAGAGAAGGCTGAGGGGGTAGATAACTGCAGGACAAGGGGAAATAGTTTTGAGGGAGGGGAGATTTACGTTGGATGTCAGGAGGAAATTCTTCACTTTGAGAGTGGTGAACCCAGAGAGGCTGTGGATGCCCTGTGCCTGGAGGTGTTCAAGGCCAGGTTGGATGGGGCCCTGGGCACCCTGGTCTGGTATTAAATGTGGAGGTTGGTGGCCCTGCCTGTGGCAGGGGGGTTGGAGATTCATGATCCTTGAGGTCCCTTCCAACCCTGGCCATTCTGTGGATCTCATCAGTGCCTGCGTAAATATCTAAAGGGAGGCAAGTGCATGAGGCTGGGCTCTTTTCAGTGGTGCCCCATGACAGAACAAGGGGCAATAGGCCCAAAGCGGAACTCCATATGAACATGAAAGGAAGTTCCATACGAACATGAAGAAGAACTTCACTGTGAGGTGTCAGAGCCCTGCGACAGGCTGCCCAGAGAGGTGGCGGAGTTGCCTTCTCTGGAGATATTCCAAACCCACCTGGGCACGTTCCTGTACGGCTTCTGCAGTGAGCTGCTCTAGCAGGGGGTTGGGCTGTTGCTTCCGAGCTCCCTTCCAGCCCCTGAGCCGACGCCTCGACAGAAATCCCCGGAACGCGGCGCCGAGCGGCGGCCTCGGGCCGTGCGTGGAGGGGCACTGCCGCCATCCGGCCAACGCGCGCGGCGCTCCGCGGGAACGCCCGATCCGCAGCGGCGGGCTGGACGCAGCGATCGGCACACGAGGCGCTGCGCTGGGACGGGAGGCGCCCCGCCGTGCTGCCGCGGGGAAAGCGGCCCTCGGGTCGCGGTAGAAGATTGATACCCGATTTATCCGCAATGACATCCTTCCCTCTAGAAGAGCCGCTGAAGTTGTAACTGTAAAACGTACCCAGTGGAAAACAGTAGTTCAGGAAGCAAAGCTTATATTGCACAGCAGTGGTCCGTGTTTGCGTAAGCCCCGTGCTAAAGCAAATCCGAGGAGGAAACAAAAGAGGAAGCCGATACACGTGCCCTCAGAATCAATCGGCTGGGAAGACTCACACCTCAGCCTGCTGCCGGCCTTGAAAAAACACTCCAAACAAGCGGAGGAAGAGTGTGAATAGAGGCACGCTGTGAGAAAGGAGCGGTACAGAAAGCGCCGCGTTGGCCATTCCGTCAGACTGCCCCTCGGCTGCCATCTGCCACGCGGCAACAAAGTGCAACAACAGAAGGTAGCAGGATGGTGGGGGAAGGTTCGCTCCTTACCGCCCTACCGCCAACATCCGCCTCTGGTGTTGTGGGTCAACGTCATGAAACAGGAGGCGTTACTTTCGGAGCAGCCCTCAAAACTACAGGCATCCGATCTTTTGGGTTGCCTGGGCCACAGGGAGCATAGTAGAATTGCCAAGGGCCACATCTATGGAGACTGCTCCGAAAGTAATGCCTTCTATTTATTTCCATGGAAACGACGACCAATAAAAGGGCACGGTAACATCACAGTGTCTACAAAACACTCTTTTTCATCTCGGTCACCACCATTAGCTCTGCATTTTCAGCAGCAATGAGCAAGAGCTTGCGCACGTGTAACAACGTGCACCAGTGGAGGTGACCCACTGTCACAGTCACCACTGCTGAAATGCACCACGCAGCGCCTCGCTGTGCTCACACCCACTGCTTGGTCTCCATAAATGTTCATAAATGTCAGTGAATGCTGCCACGATGGCACAGGGCACTGAGTCCTCAGCACAAGCTGTGCAAGCAGCATGCAGCCTGTGGGCCATGGGCTGGACATGCCTGCTTAAAACAAAGAGCTTGAGTCTAATCCTAAGTTTTACAGTTGATGGCCAAACTTTTAAAGTCCACAAACAAAACTTTTTTTTTTTTTTTTTTTTTTTTTTTAAACACAGCAGCACTGTAAGCTCACGACATTTTTC